GCTCCAAATTTTCTTTAACGAAAAGTAACCAGACTGATCTGCGAGTGAAACCTTGAAAGCTCGCGAGATCAGGATGGTCTCACAAGGCTACCAATGGTCACCATGGCGCTAACTTTTTCATTTTGTTCATCCAAACACACAGAATGCCTTAAAGAACAACATATTTGTCTCCGGCTTCTTTTTACCTGGTATTTAGAGTAATGGCTTCTTCTTACTGAGTGGCATTTAAGTCCATGTTGGTAGGGGATCTGTTTCAGATGGTTAATTACTCCATCTTCGTGAGGTCTAATTTGTTTTGCGTTAATTTGCTCAGGTTGGAGCAAAACGCCTTCATCTCTTGGGGTACAGAACTCAACTTTCTGGGCTGTTTATACAGATGAAAATGACAACTTCAGACATCCGGAAAGAGGATCCATAGATGAACTAGATTCCCAGATCCTGATATTATGGCTGATTTTGTTTTTTCCAATGATTTTACACAAAGCAGCAGGTTAAAGCAGTCAGACTTTAAGGCTAGGAAGGTCAATATGCATCATGTTTTGAACAGTGTGTGGTGATATCTGGTTTTAACTGTGTCTGATGTTCATCCAAAAATGAAGCCTGACATTTGGCACTAAAATCTACGTGGCGAGGAGGTAAAAGCTGGACAAACTGAAGGCTGTGTTTCTGTGCAGGGTGATCTCCAACACTGCGGTGAAGCTGCTTGAACAAGGTGTGTTCTACTGCTGGCCTCTAAGGACATGTTAGGAAAGTCTCAATGCTAATTTGTTCTACTCCTGTTTAGGCATTGTTTTTGATGGCGTCATTCTCGAGGGGGCGTTCAATAGTGAACGACAGTATATGCCGTTTTATGTTTTTGGCTGGGTAGGCTGCACTGACCAAACATTTTTCACAATTTCTGGATAATTTTTCTGTCGCTAACGACTTTGCAATGTTTTTTTTTTTTTTCTGTCCTTAAAGTATTACATGACATTTCCAGGCATTAAGAACCTGTTCAGGTTCCTGTGGGAACAAAAAAAGGTTGTCTTTCCTACAGAACAAAAGTGAGTGGGTTCATATGAGCAGAATATTACAAGATGCATCATATGAAAAGAGGATTTTCTGTTTACCTAGATATGTTTTTCAGTTTGAAGAAAATGAAGAGTCCGATTCTGTTTCTCCATTCAGAGGACGATCACTTGGTTCCCATAGAAGTAGCTCGACGGGTAAGGCTTTTTATTACTTTCAGCTAATGTTTGCTTTACAGTCATCACTGTAATTCAGCTGTTCTGTTTAACTTTCTCAGACGTATGAGGTCGCTGCGAAGGCGCAGGGTAAAGACAGAGTCAAGCTTGTGACATTTGATGGTTCTCTGGGATACCTGCACAACGGCTTATATCGCGATCCGAAGCTTCCCGGTGTCTTAAAGTGAGAGAACATTTCTTTGACTCGTCTTAGTGTGATTAGGATGCAGTTAAACAGTGATCCACTTTCAGCTCCTGGCTGCAAAACAAGACAAACTAAAAATGATCTGATTTTTATCAGCTTTTAAAGTCGTCAAACTCTTATCATATACAAAAATACAAAAGAATCTGAATTTTCATTGTCTTAAAAGCAGATGTAGCCGAATTAGAAATGCTTAGTTTGAAAACTATGTAGACTCCATGGTCTTGCAATGCAAAATCACCTTTAGCAACGAAAGCCCCTTTTCCACCGAAAGCCCCTGGATTCGTATTCACCCAGTAATAAGAATCCTGGGTAATTCATCAGTGTGCTTTCCCATCAATCTAGAAGCCCCCAGACAATCAGCCTGAGAAACTGCACTACACCTACAGTCCTGTAGGTGGCTGTAATAAAAAAAACTGGTTCTCCCTTTACCTCCTACGGAAGAGGATTAGGGCCACTGAAAAAAAAAAAAGTTAACTGATTTTTTAATTTTATTTCAGTTTAACATGGGAAAAAAGTCAAAATTCTGATTTTAATCTCAGAATTCTGACTTTTTTCTCAGAAT